AGCATTGAGCCATGGCAGTTAAACCAGATTATTTCTGCAGTGTGGATGCAGCCTAAAAGTCACTTCTCCTGGCTCAAGCTCTCCCCACGCCACTTGGCAAGAACATCATTCAGTTATCCTCTGAGCATGGGCAGAATGGACCTCCTTCTTCTCTCCAAACAAGAAAATTAAGTTGGGGGGTGAGTTATGGCCGTGGCAAAAGTGTCAGAATTGGGACTAATGTGAATGTGAAAGCTACAGTTAGAGCAAATCCAGTAAAACTTGACATCATGGTTGCCGTGCAAAGTACAATAACATCCCAAATCCACAAAACAGCGATACTTTCATTGGATCAACCAAAATGTACAAAATGCATCTTGGTGGATTCTCCTTCTTTGGAGGTCTTTAAGCAAAGGCTAGATGCCATCTGCCCATGATGCTTTGATTGTGAGTTCCTGCATGGCAGAAGGGGGGGTTGGAGTGGATGACCCCTTGTGGTCTCTTCCAAGTCTATGATTCTATTATTCCAAGCTGGGTGGCTATCTGTCCTAGGGAGGGTTTGGGTTGTTTCTTCCTGCATGGCAGAAGGGGCTCAGACTGGATGCCAGCAGTGTGATGCAGCAGCTAAAAAAGCCAATATGATCCCTAGGCTGCCATGGCCATCTGTCTGGGGTGCTTTGATTGTGAGTTCCTGCATGGCAGAAAGGGGTTGGACTGGGTGGCCCCTGGAGGTCCCTTCCGACTCTATGATTCTATGAATCTTGCAAGCTTTCGAAACTCCTGCAGCTTCTTCATCTGGCAAAAGTGTTCAAAATCCAACAGGAGAAAGAAAAATATGATGGTGTTAGAGCTACATTTTGTCAAGATGTCATCTCCGGTACAATAATGTCCCAAATCCTCAAAACCATGATACCTTTATAGGACCAACCAAAATGCACAATATATCTGATGCAAGCTTTCGATGCTCCACTGGTTTCTTAATAATAATAATAATAATAATAATAATAATAATAATAATAATAATAATAATTTTTATTTATATACCGCCCTATGGTGGACCAATCCGAGCGGTGAACATGATAAATAAATATACAATAATACAATGTAAAACACCATCATTCCCCCTCCCCCCCTTAAAAATTTATTAAATCAAAATCAATGTAAAACTGTTAAAATTATCCCAATTATAAATTAATAAGATTAATAAAAATTGCATACAAACCAAACCCCTGCTAATCATCAGACAAAGATGTTAAAATCATACAGGAGGGGGAAAAATGTGACACTGTTAGTCACATTTGCTCCAGATGTTGCTGGTGCTGCTGTTGTTGTTGCTCTCAGTTAAGATAGTAGGGAAGGATTTGGGGTGCTATTGTACTTTGCTTTATGGAAACATGGCTCCCCCGGATATGATTCCCGCAAACTTTGACTCATTTGCTGAAGTGACCCACACAAAATATGGAGAAACACGAGCCTCCTTTCCCTGGAGTTTTTGGGGGTGGCCACTGGGCAATGGGGGGGGCCAGGTGTCCTCTCAGCAGCTGGATTTGAGATTCTGCCATTTTTCTCCATAATCTCCAGATCTGGAAGAGCCCCTCTGCTCCTAAAGTGGCACATGGGTGTTGCAATTAATTGTTTTGTTTTATGATTTATCTCCTGCCTTGAGATGGAAGGAGGCAGGATGGGGAACATCAAGGGCAAATTCAAAAAACAAAAATCCACCAAACAGGGATACCGAAATGCACAATATTCTACTTGTTGCAAGCTTGGTTGGGAGCACTCTTTGTTTGATGGGTTTGGGTTTGAGGAGGGGGACGTGGTTCCCAGCCCCAGGGATTTGGCCCACCACCGGCCGTACCCACACCTGGGCAGCAACTGGGAGGGGGCCCTGTGACTTCTATATCTGGGGGCATATATATCTTCATCCCCCCCCCCTGCAAGTGGGACAATGAACGCCTGGGCATGTGCAGAGAGAGGGAAGAAATCCCATAGACTGCCATGCCCACATCTGTGCATGGGATGTGGGATGAGCATGTGCAAGAGGACCCAAGGGAGAGCCTCTTTTCTGGGGTGCCCCCCCAGCAAACATCTCCCCCCCATAGGTGTTTCTTATTGGGGGTGTCGCATCCCCTCTTCCATGCCCATTGTGGTCCCAATCCGAACTCTCTCCTCCTTCCCTTCCAACGCCTTGTGTCTTCAAAGAGAAATCCAGGTTGCGCTGCACATGGCACCCCCTTCTTCAAAGGCTGTTCCAGAGTTATTGAGGGGCGCAAAGGGAGGAGGGCCCTGAAGTGGGGGTACTGATGAATGGGACCCCCACTTTGAGATCCCTGGCAGCATAAGAAACCCCCT